GACCACCTCTAAATGCGTCCCTCCCATACCGGTCCTAACCTGGAAGGCCTGTCCAGCTGACCAGAATGAGCTTTAATGTGAATGTCATACTTCCTCTCAGTGGCGAGCTGCCACCCTGATAAGGAGTTATTTTATATCATGGTTTTATGGACTGCACACTGTGTGCCAGACTGCTCAGGGCCCATCCCTGGGAATGCAAATGGAACTGTGAGGTGGGTGGAGTCAGAGACCTGTGTTCACATTCCCAGCCCCCCCCCGGCTGTTCAACTGTTCAACCATGGACAAGACAAGGAGCTGAAGCATTTCTTCATGGCCAAATGCAAATGGGGATGTCCCCAGTACCTGCCGTAGAGAGTTGCCCTGATGCTCAGGTGACACAAATCTATGTACAAGGCTTAGTACTGTCACCTGAAGTTACCCAGGAGGTAATTCTAGCGTCATTTCCACGTTTCTTACCAAACGCTTTCCTTAACAGCTAATGGCATTACGATTTAATTGAGTGAAATTTGGCACTCTGGCTTTGTTTAAAAGGGAGCTGCAGCTGTATTAGTGAGGAATGTTTTCTGCCACAAAGAACAAAACATCTATCAGTAGCTTTACATAAACAGCCCTAACACGTCTGGGGTGGCCATCTCCTGGTGTGCTGTCCGGCTCCCCACGACATCAGTGGTGGCTGGGGCCTCGGTGTTCCTTGCAGAGTTCTCCTCTTGGTCTTCCCAGCTGAGGCAGGAGCGGACGATACCAACCATACCGTCAGCTGTAAGCTTTCTCGGAAGCTTCTGATTATGACGCCTTTGCTAGACCAGTGTCACCTGATCATGCTGACCTGCAGGGAAGGCTCCAGAATGCCCGACTTTCCCAGTGTCTGATTTGGGAGATGGTACTTGGCAAGGTCTATGACCAGCGTTTGTGCCACCCAACCTTCAGACTTCCCTGTATCATGGAGTGGAGGGGGCGCCTGTGTGGAGAGTGTAAGTCAGTTTACCTTGAAGCAAGACAGCATGTATGTGTCTCCCAGAGAGCTGTGTACTGAAGTGACCGCCTTCCAGCCCATACGAAGAACAGGACCTGTTAGCACCTTATCAGCCCCTTAGAAGTTTGCACTTCGGTTCCTCTTACTTTTTCTCCCCTTTTCCTTGAGTAATGAGCATTTCCTGAAGTATTTAGTCCCAAACCACCAGGTGGAGCTGAGCACCTTAGCCTCTGTCCCTAGAGTGAGGGAGACGGGAGGAAGGTGACTTCTGGTCCCCTGAGCCCGGAAGGGTGTCCTACAGGGAGGCTTTAATCCCACCTGCTGGCTGTGAGGGAGCCCCCTCTGGGCAGGCTTTGCTGCACCTGCATTAGAGCCTGACCCCAGGAGGGACTGGGGTGTGAGGGGAGCTCCACAGTGTTAGGGATTAGCAGTGTTGGACATACCTTTAAATACCACTCTCGACACTGCTCTATGTACAGAGCTCTCTGAAAAACATTTCAAAGAGGTGTAGTAGTAAGGAGTTTATACCTAACTTCATTTATTTGTTGGAAAATGCAAAAAATGGTTACACATATACGAATATGTAACAGCTGCTGGCTCTCACCTCACCACTGCTGCGCTAATGTTTCCTGTTTTCTTATATCTCAGCCCTTTTTCATAGGCAAACGTGATTCTGATGTTGCTTCAATGGCAGTTAAGACATAGGGTTACAGTCGACCTTTTCCTCCTCTGAACATTGAGTTGATCTTTGGCTGGGTGTGGTAGCTTAATTCTGTAATTGTACTGCTTTGGGAGGCCAAGAGGGGAGGATTGATTGAGGCCAGGAGTCAGAGACCATCCTGGACAATATGTGAGACCTTGTCTGTGAGAAATAGAAAAATTAGTCAGGCCTTGTAGTATATGCCTGTAGTCCCAGGTAACTCATGAGGTTGAGAGGGGAGGATCCCATGAGCCCAGGAGTTCGAAGCTATAGTGAACTATGATGGTGCCACTGTGCAAAAGTCTGGGAATGGAGCAGGACCTCATCTTTAAGGTGCCCCCTCTCCCCCTCCCTAAGGTCTTACCCTCTCCTTTATCTCTTTTAAAATACACACAAAGATGGTAAGGGAGGTCCCTTGAGAGCCGGGACACTTAGTCTCACACTTGTTCCTTCCACTCTCCTGCCTTGTTCAAATGTGGGCTGAACTCGCTTTCTCTAATGAGCTTTCGTTAAAATGGCAGGAGGAGCAGCCTAAATTGCTCTCAGCTCGCTGTTTTGTGAGCTGGACGGGTGAAACTTGATTTATCTTATGATCGAGTGCTTTTGTTCTTTGATTTGGCATTTTATTTATGCTGGATAAATGTGGTCTCACTATTAGAGGTCATTATTTATAGCCCTTTCCCCATCCCTCCCCTCATTGAGATTTTTATTTCAGACACATTCATATATTATTACTAGTTAAGCAGAAATTCATCATTCAGAATGTGTGTCTCTGCCTGTCCACTCAGGCTCCCACTGTCGGTTTGGGGATATATTCTTTATCAAGTGACCCTTTTATACAGTAGGAAGCTGGACTAAAGCCCCTGATGAGAGTGTGTGCGCTTGATGCCCACATATAATCTTTTAATGTTCTTGTCATTTCTGCTAATGCGTGGATTTAGGAAAGCCTGCGGGGACTCGGTATTTGCTGAAGATGGAAATTGGCATGAGCAGTCAATAAGAAAAGAAATTTATGTATAGTTCATAAATTCCATTGTAAATAAAATTTAAAACATGAAAAAAACCACACACCTGAGATTCTATCCTGAACCCCCCCTAACTCCCTGTGATAGGTGCACAGTTTATTTTCTGGGTGACTTTATTGTACTTTTATGACATAAACTGTTCGCCCTTACCTGTTAAAGAGTATTTGCTTTACAATTTTTTGATACGCTTCCTGTTACTTACATATGAGTTAGCCTTTCATTGCAAATATATTTCAAGGTTTATAGGTACTTTAAATTATTTGTTATATGAGGCTATTTTTCCCCTTAAGTTGATATATTCAATGAGAAAAACATCTTATTTGAGAGAATCAAGCTATAGTTACATTTAATTCATGGCAGTGGTGACTGGTGCTTGGGAGTCCCTAGTGGTAAAATTTTTATAACTCGGTGTCCCTTATTTTCTTCCTTATTCAAAATACCTCAGGAAGTCCAAGCCCCCCCTTCCTTTTTATATTTCAGAATTCTACTTATAGGTTTTTGTTTGTTTAGATGGAGTCTCATTCTGTTGCCCAGAATGCTGTGGTGTCAGCCTAGCTCACAGCAGTCTCAGACTCCTGCCTCAGCCTCCCTAGTAGCTGGGATGAAAGGCATCCACCAGAATGCCTGGCTAATTGTTCTGTTTTTAATAGAGTTGGGGTTTCTTTCTTGCTCAGGCAGGTCTGGAATTCTTGAGTTCAGCAATCCACCCTCCTCAGCTTCCCAGAGTGTTGGGATTACAGGCGTGAGCTGCCACACCTGGCCTCCTTTAGGTTCCTAGAACATATTAATGAATTAGGTGTACCTTTGACAGTGCTTATTGATTTGACCTTGAGCAATCCTAGCTCTTGTCCGTATTGCACTGGTGACACACAGAAAGGCAGGCTCGGTCCCAGCTGCAGCCCCTCCTCCCCTGACGCTATCCTGAGAGTTTGACCTGATGGCTGCAATTGTTCTTCCATTACTTCACTTGGTTGGATTCCTTGGTTTAGTCCTAGAGACTGGTTGGTCTTGGTGGGAACTACCATGTCTAGGGCTTAGCTGGTCTTGGTATTGGAATCCTTGCTTTCTTTGTTCAGTGGAATGACCTTTGGAAGACACAACAGGCCACTCTTTTTGGGCCTCTCGTGTGCTCAGCAGTCAGACTCTCCTGCCTGTGATCTGTGGTCATTTCATGGGGCTTGAGTTCTTTTCTAAGCATAGTGAAGAGGCAAGGAAACAAATTCTTAGCTACAGCTTTTCCTTTTTTCTGTTTTATCAGTTCCCTGTAGTTAGAGGAGAACCATGTCTTATTTCTTCTTTTGGGGAGACAGAAGAGAACTGGTCTTGCTCTGTTGCCCTGGCTGGAGTGTAACAGCATCATAGTTTACTGTGGCCTCAAACTCCCGAGTTCAAGTAATCCTCCTGCCTCAGCCTCCTGAGTACCTGGGTCCGCAGGTGCACACCACCACTCCTAGCTTTTCTTTAAAATTTTTCGTAGAGATGGGGTCTCACCACATTGCCCAGGCTATTCTCCAATGCCCAGCTTCAAGCAGTCGGCCTCCCAGAGTGCTGAGATTATAGGTGTGAGCCGTCATGCCCAGCCTGTTTCTTTCCATCGAACAGATGTAATTAAAGCTACTAATGGCAAGGTCAGAGCTGTTTTAGTAATTTGCTTTAGTTCTCACCCTTGGTGGTGAATCCATAGTACGTCATGGAGGGGTGAGTGCTAGGGGGGCTGAGGGCCGGCAAAAGGCAAGCAGCGTGAGCTCCCATTCTTTTTGAAAAATAGTAAGTTGGTGAATTACCTAAAGCAGAATGTCAGGCTAATTCTAAAGTTTCATAGGTGAAGGAAGCAGGCAGTTTGGAAGGTTTGGAATGTATCTGATGACTGAGATCCTCCACCTTGGTTACTATCAGTCACACGCACCTGGGGAAGTAGGACATCTATTCTCACCTTCTTTTTAACGTCTGGAGGCAGCTTAGGGTTCTCATTGAACCCACTGCAACTGCTGGACTGAATCTCGAGATTTAGACTCTTGCCCCACAGATGTTTATTTAAGTTCTTTCTGCAAAGATGCTCAGATTCAAAGCAGAAGTTTGAGGTGTCCCATATTTATTATTGTAATTTTTCAAACAATACTGAAGGTGTGTCCAGCTGGAGGTTCCCCTGTCCTTGCTAGTCGAGCTTCTAGAAGACCGTTCACCTACACAAGCATGTTGTGTTGAAATGATGCCGAGTTTTCCAGCACAGACCCTTAGGGCTGGTGTGGGACTGGCGCTGTGTTCAGTGGGAACTGTTCTGATGTCCTCTTCAATTCCGCAGGAAATGACAACAGTGAAGTCCTTCCTGAGTCCATTCCGTCAGCTCCGGGGACGCTGCCTCATTTCATAGAGGAGCCAGATGATGCTTACATCATCAAGAGCAACCCTATCGCCCTCCGGTGCAAGGCAAGGCCAGCTATGCAGATTTTCTTCAAGTGCAATGGCGAGTGGGTCCATCAAAATGAGCACGTCTCTGAAGAGAGTCTGGACGAGAGCTCAGGTGAGTGTGGGGCTGTCCGAAGAGGCTGTGGTAGCTCTTCAGGTTCATGTTCTGTGTCTGGAAAAGACCATAGAAACCACCGCCAGTCCCATCACTGCCAGCCTCACCACCCCCACTGCCATATTTGAATTAGGTCATGTTCATAACACTCCAGACATAAAAAACACGATCTTTAAATGTATACCACAGCTACCTTGGCAGCCTATTCCATTATGATATTGAGACTTTTTTTTTTCCTTTTTTAGGGGTGGTTCTATATAACTTTAAAAATCTAACTCTGTATTGGAGTGAATATTCTCACTAGGAATAAAACCAGGCAGTCACTGTTTTAATTTGCTGAGTTCTATATATTTTTGAAGACAAACATGAAAGCTTACCCTGTTTTTAAAGCAGTGTAATTTCAGCATCATTAATCTTTCCTCCGAGGTGTTACTCTTGCGTTCTCCTTCCCTCCACTGTTGGTGGTTTCTAAGTCCTCTGTGTGTTTTTTGACTACCATGTAGTGGCAGATCCCAAATTAGATTACTATATTCTAGCGGGATCTCCAGTATAAACAAATTTCAGGACCATCTTTATTAGTTTGGCTAATTTGCCTGATAAGTGGTGATGATGAAAACTGTGATCGTACTATCTAATGTTTATGAAGCATTCATTATATACAAGCCTGATTGCAGCCTCTGACAGGCATTGTCTGGGTCTGTACCGCAGCCTCCAAGGTAGATCATGCTGTTCTTACCTTCATGTAGACAAGGAAACTGAAGCTCAAAGAAAGTTGGTAAACTAAGTGTTTGTGTTGGATTTCTAAGCAAAATAATTTGACTCTGAACCTTCAAAATGCATAGGTTTTTTTTTGTTTTTTTTCTTTTGCAGTTTTTAGCTGGGGCTAGGTTTGAACCTACCACCTCCAGCATATGGGGCTGGCGCCCTATTCCTTTGAGCCACAGGCACTGCCCAAAATGCATAGTTTTTTATATTTTAGCATATAAGAGAAACAGTATATGCTTCTGAATTTTGGTTACTCAGACTCCATCCAGTCTGCTCATCCTCTAGACCAGTGATTGTCAACCCAGGGGCCATGGCACATTGATGAGACGTGAAAGGATCTCTGGTGTGGCATGAAAAATTTAAAGTTCATTAATTAAATTATTTTCAAAAGATATTCAAAGCACAGTAAGTATATTCTTTTTTTAACTTGTTTTTTGACTAACACAATTTAAGTGTGCTGTGAGATAAAAAAGATTGAAAAACACTGGTCTAGATCATTGATTTACTAGTCCTGACATGGGTGGATCACTAGCTGTTGGATTTTGAAGATGTCATGAGATTTCAATATAATTAGGAACTTTCAAGTCAGTTTCATTTACTATAAACCAGTGTTGTTCAATATCCTTGGTAGCCTTTCAGAGTATTCAAGAGAAGCAAAGTATAGTCTACAGATGGTCTTTACACCTGCCAATGGGAATAAGATCAATACATCCCTAGAAGTGCAGTACAAATGAAATTAGGATAAATATCTAAATAGAAGTATATGACGTTATGGGGAATTTTGGAAGAACAGATCACAGCTAAGTAGGTCCATCAGGGAAGGTCTTGTGAAATTGGGAGCATTTGAAAGGGACATTGATGAGCACAGAAACAGCGTAATTGGTGTTACATTACGTGGAGGAAAGAGGAATTTCAGTGACCTGAAGCCCACAAACATTAGTAAATGAAGAAACTTAGTCTATGTAGTACGTTCTGCAAGAAGTTTGGTTTGGTTGAAATATGAAATTGGGAGCAGGACACGGAGGTATACACCAGGAGTCACAGCTACTCAGAAGGCTGAGGCAGGAGGATCACCTGAGCCCAGGAGTTCAAGACCAACCTGGGCAAAGTAGTGAGATTTTTGTCTCTTAAAAAAGTGAAAGATATGTAAAAATATAAGAGGATAGCAGACAGTAGCTGGAAAACTTAGTTTAATCAATGGCATGAAAGGCCTTAAATGCCAGAGTGTGGTGTTCTTCACTTAGTTTCTTGGCTCTTGGGGTGATGGTTGTGACTGATTGTATTGATGTATGGAAGTACAGGCTGAATCTGGCTGCAGCGTTGGTAAGGAGAAACACATGAGAGAGTGAGGAGACTTGGATAGTCAGGTGAGAGGA